CTGATCCCCGAAACACAAACCTGCTGTTTGAGCAGATGTACAGAGGTTCCATGTTCTATGGCCGAAAGGGTCTTCCTCTTGCCGTCATCTCCGTCATCGATCTCGCCATCTGGGACTTGCTTGGCAAGGTGAGAAACGAGCCTGTATACAAGCTCATTGGCGGTGCCACCAAGGAGCGCCTGGACTTCTACTGCACTGGCCCCGAGCCGTCGGCGGCCAAGACGATGGGCTTCTGGGGCGGCAAGGTCCCTCTTCCGTACTGCCCAGAGGACGGCCACGCCGGTCTGAAGAAGAACGTAGAGTTCCTCCGCAAGCACCGCGAAAGCGTTGGACCCGATTTCCCCATAATGGTGGACTGCTACATGAGTCTTAATGTGTCTTACACAATCGAGATTGTCAAGGCCTGCGAGGACCTCAACATCAACTGGTGGGAGGAGTGTCTGTCGCCCGACGACACGGACGGCTTCGAGCAGATTAAGCGCGCGCACCCCACCATCAAGTTCACCACTGGCGAGCACGAATACTCTCGATTCGGATTCCGCAAGCTCATCGAGGGACGCAACCTGGATATCATCCAGCCTGATGTCATGTGGCTCGGTGGCCTCACGGAACTGCTCAAGGTCTCTGCCATGGCCTCGGCGTACGACATCCCTGTTGTGCCTCACGCCAGTGGTCCTTACAGCTACCACTTTGTCATTTCGCAACCGAACACGCCCTTCCAGGAGTACCTCGCCAACTCGCCCGACGGCAAGAGCGTTCTGCCCGTCTTCGGCGACCTCTTCCTCGACGAGCCCATTCCGACAAAGGGCTTCCTGACGACGGCTGACCTTGACAAGCCCGGCTTCGGTCTGACGCTCAACCCCGCCGTCAGGTCAAAACTGATCTCGGGCAAGGCTCTGCTGAATGCTAGCCCTGTAAGTGGACAGAAAGTCGCAAATCATTGTATTGTCAGATGTACTAACAAGTGTGCAGGAGAGGCCCCTCAAGTCAGTGGAGGAGACGGAAGCGAAATAAACAACAGCTTTATGCATGATGTTGAAGTCAGAATGTAAAGGCCGGTAGCATCGGCCAAGTAGAGTAACGTGTCACTCGCAAGGCTATTGGGAATACTTAGACCGGGGCGGTTGGATTCAGCTGTGTGGCGGTGTCGAGAACATGGTTTATTGGCGTCATGTACACGGCGAATCAGCTGGTATGCTTAGCTACCACGTGAAATAGATTTATGACAATGTTTATAGCAACTATCTAAGATGTTGGTGACTATCATGAACCGGTTTCGATGTTTCTGCGGCCAAGGCCAAGGATGCAACAGTATGATCATTAATCGCCTTGCATTAAGGGCGGCAGAGAAAAACTCGAGATTGCTCTCTAGATGTATCACAATTGAAGGCTTCGACTTGATCTGTGGCGATGAATTCGAGCTTCGCGGAGCCGAGATCGATATACGCGGAGAGTGGGGGTTCCATGTTTAGCTTGACCTACAATTGCCATACTCGACGTGCATTGTTAGCAGCAAGGAACCAGCCGGGACGCAGTGAGGGAGGAGTGACGGAATCCCAAACACCACGGAGGAAACACCGTCTCTGACCAGAGCATGAAGCAGCTCAGGTGGGATAGATACGCAGTAATGGGCAATATGGTGGTTGGTGGGGTGAGGCTCGCTACATTTGTGACCGAGAGTGCGGGGTGGAAAGTGGGATGTCCACAGGTCATGGGGAATTCCGAATGAAAAGGGTACCCACGCAGGTCACGGAAGGGGTTTGTCGTCGGCAGCTGCCCCTGGGGTTCCGAATGAGACAAGCAGCCTTCCTTACCTAATGTCTCCCGACTTTCACTCCCCGAGTATGTATCGTGGGACTCGGAAGGCACCTCATGCAGCGGGCGGCAGTCGTGGCTCGGTCGTCGGGTCTCACTTGAGCCGCCCTCGCTGCACAATAACCCCCCTCTTCCGTCTTCATAGCTCTGTCCCGCCTCCTCCGCACCAACCACAATTCCTTCGGGCATGTATCGTCGACTACAAATATAGACTTGTCAACCATCCGTCCTCGCGCACGAGCACAAGCGAAGCTTACCACGAATCTACAGACGAACACGATCACTCGCTAATCGTCTGCCATCTACCGCCAATCGCCCACCGCTTGATCCTATCTTTGGCTGATCCAATTACCAGGGTCTGATTCGACGTCGTGCCGTCCAAGCCAACCCCGCACCCGGCCTCATTCCGACTTCCTACCTTACATAACGACGACGGCCTTCCTTTTCAAGAAAGCTTGCCATATTTGCAAATAGTACACGATGGCCCCGGCGAATCTGCTTGCTGGCAAGACTGCCATCATCACGGGCGGCACTACTGGCATTGGAAAGGCTATTGCGTTGGAATACATAAAGCAGGGTGCCAACGTTGTCGTAAACCATTTGGGCCTTGAAAAAGACCAGCCCCACCTTGATGCTCTCATTGCCGACGCCGCTGCTGCGAAGCAAGAGAACCCCAACGCGGGCCGTCTGGCCGATATAATTGGCGATGTTCGCGAGCCCGAGACGGCAGCAAAGCTGGTTGCGCGTGCCGTCGAGCACTCCGGCAACGCCCGTCTAGACATCTGCGTCTCCAATGCTGGCATCTGCACATTCGCCGAGTTTCTCGAGCTGACCCCCGATCTGTTCACCAAGACAGTCCGTACCAACCTCGACGGTGCCTTCTATGTTGTACAGGCAGCCGCGCGCCAGATGAGCCAGCAATCGCCTGCTGGTGGTAGCATCATCGGCATCTCGTCCATCTCCGCCCTCGTCGGTGGTGGCCAGCAGACCCATTACACCCCTACCAAGGCCGGTGTACTCAGCCTCATGCAGAGCACTGCTGTTGCCTTGGGAAAATACAATATTCGCTGCAATGCCTTGCTCCCCGGTACGATCAAGACGCAGCTCAACGAAGAGGACCTGGCCGACGATGCCAAGCGGGCCTACACGGAGGGCCGCATTCCTCTAGGCCGCACCGGCGTGCCGTCCGATCTCGCCGGGCCCGCCGTCTTCCTAGCCTGCGAATACCTCAGTGGTTATGTGACAGGCGCGCAGTTGCTGGTTGACGGCGGCCTCTTTGTTAATCTTCAATAGAGCGCTCTCAGCCTATCACGCTCGATTTTGCTATGTTTGTTCTAGAGTGCTGTGGTATCGGGGTGTCCCTCCTATTGGTCAAGTAGCAGATAGAATGCTTGTCCATGGAGGAGTCAAAAGCGCGACGGGATGAGGGATTTATGAGGGCACGGAGGAGAAAAGAAAAAGACACAGTTGCAAAGACCGCCTACTGTTCCAACCGGTGCATTCAAGCACCGCAGGATGAAACAAAAGTCCAAGGATTGAGGAATGTATGATTGATTATTAGCAAGTGAGCGGTATTCCTCGAATCCACTTGCGTGCTCATGTTGGCCAGTCACGCCAACCCGTTGATTTCCTTTCCCCTTCCATCAAACCCTCTTATCCTCTTATTACCGGGCAAGGATCAGGCCTCCGTATGCAAGCCAAAGTCACCCCTTCTGCCCATCCCTCATACTTGTCGTTTGTCTGCTTTTTGTTTGAGCGAACTGTGGTTCCGGTTTCCAATTTCACCGTCTTTGGCGGTTTCCCAACTGTCCAAGCGAGGGCGACGGACGAATAAGACGGCCTTGATAGGTGCACTCAACTGGCTGAGCGAGTGACGGGGCTCCATCCCTTGCCTACATACAGTATGGATACGGACAGGGGCAGGGGTGTCTGCATGGAGTCTGGCCGACGGTGACGGCATCACAATGCGACTGACGAGTAGTAGGCATGGCGGCAGCGGGACGCGACAGTAATAGCGCCGGGCTGAAGCCTGGTTTTCGCTTGGTAGACTGTGGGCGTTCTCCTCACGGCTCGGCAACGCTGGATGATGGCGTCGTTGTGCAGCAAGGAGGGAAGAAGAAAAAAAAAACGGCGACGGGAGGCCGGCCGCAGAGGAAGCAAAGGCCCGCGACGGGGGATGCACATCTACCGGTAGAACCGCAAATCTCGGGAGTGTTGGGTGAAGCGTGTAGTACGGCAGGACGGGTATCGAGCTATTGAGTAACTGCTCATATACTACATTGTTATCTCGAACTCTCTCCAAACTACGAACACATCAAGATTCGCGTTCGTTCACTAGATACACTGCCCGTGTCCTTGCCATACCCAGTTGTCTGCACGAGAGACAACGAGGTCGACCGTCAGTCACAGGACAATGAAACCCCCGGACTTTTTAAGAGGGACAGGCCACAAAATACACATGTTGTGGGCGGGTACAGCATAAGTGGATGGCCTGGAGATGCGTGGTTTCTTTGGGTATCAGCGTTCTGGACTTGATGATGATGTTTTGTGGCCCTGTTCACGCAACTTCCCTGAACACAGTCGTACTCAGTCTGGACTCTGCGTACATAGTGTGTTCGTGCCTTGAGATGGAGAAGGGAGAGATGGACGTCATTCGCCGAGTCATGAATTAACCTAGAATAGTAAGTATCTAAGCGTCCTTTTGGGGCGATGACACAAGAGATGAGCGGCGAAGTCGCCTTTCTGAAGCTGAAGACAAAAAAGTCAGCAACAGAAGAGTTTTCTTTTCGCCTTGCCTCAATTACAGTCACTTTCCCTCTCTTTTCTTTCAAGGTCCTAATTAGTCAGTCAATGTTGGTGAGACAAGCGCAAATATGCAGGACCGGTGTCGAACGGCCATGGGACCGAGGGTTTTCCGGACCCGATGCCGCTGGATACCCGGTTCTTTGCCGTAGGGGGGCAATGAATGGGAGGGCTCTATTACCTAAGCCGCTGAAAGAGACGACTGCCACTTCGGGCCGTCTAGCGGAGCCTCTTGCCCGTGGCAGCGACCAATGAGATGTAGCCGTCCGAGCCACGGGCGTTCTGCGAGTGTGCACATCGCAATCCTTGCCGCCGCGACCCCGGGACCCACTATCGGTGACGTCACTACGGGGTCTCCGTTGCCCGCTTTTATGGAACCACACGGGCAAATTCCTTGATACATCTCTCACCTCATGGTGCAAGTGCATTTTCGCATTTGTGGACCACCTCAGACGCTATCACCACTTCCTGCGGGCACCATCCCTGTGTCAGCCTGCCGTATCGCAAGGAGTCGTCGATAAGGAGTAGGCACACGCCCAATGGGAGCCATGGAGGGGTCTTCAAGGAGGCGGGCGAAGGAGGGGCAGAGATTGCGCCGGCGCTGCTTTATCTGATGCTGAAGACAAGAAGCCGATGAGACCGACTGAGTTAGGCATGGTCTGCTGTACGGACTACCTTACAAAGTACCTTTTCGTGCCATTGTATGGATAAAGATACTTGACATACGAAACGTCGCATGGTATCTACCTTTTCCCCCCTTTGACGTCCTTGGTCCTGAATCGAATTAGATTCCTTGTGACAAGGCCAATTCCCCTGGCGTATCCTTCCATGTTTGGGCTTAACTTTGCGCTGGCGACAGACGTAGATGATGAATCCGTGGAACTACTACTGGCTGCATGATAGAGATAGACACCGGTACATGACCGAACAAAAAGTGAGAGATATTGAATACACCAAATAGCCTTTGTGCATGCTGCAATAAGCCTCTGCATTTTGCCTCAGGGTCCAACGGCTGGCCGTGACGGCGGCTCGCATGTGCTTCGTCCTTGCGCCAAGGCCGCCTCGGGTAAGGGTCGATCGCTGCCGCATCGGTACCCAGATCATCATCATTGCTCGGGGCATTTCGAGGCCCCTAACCATATGCTTTGCGCGACACACAGCGGAATCTTTTGCAGCCGCAACGAGGAACCCGAAAAGCCAAGTCTCCACCATGACGGTTGGCGAGATGGATCCCTTCTACTGCCTATGGAGCCTCCTAAACATGCTTTTTGCCCTTCTCTTGTTGGCGGCTCGCTGGGTTACTCGCCCGTTTTGTGACTTGCACTACGTTTGTACTTTGTACTTTGGATCCATCTGTATTGGTAAAACCCGTACCTAGGAGCCAGGAACAATGTTTTTTCAGACTGCCAGTGCGAGTCTGCCCTGGCGGTGAGATGGAGGAACCTTTGGTGCCACACAAGTTTTCTCCCTCTTGGCAAGTAGCCGCATCCCGGCCCGTTTCCCTTTGGCGGTACTCTTCTGTACGGAAGTACGTCGACTGCAGCAGTGCTGCTCGCAACAAAGGGCAGTGTCTTTATCCTCTTCTGTGTCGTAATCATAAAATTTCACCACCAGGTAAGGTCCTTGTGTGTATCCGTACAGGGTGGAGCAAGGCTCCTCTTCTGGCCTTGGATCCAAAAAAAAACTTCTCATGCTACTTCGCCTCCACGGTATCCACGACCATGCACGACTCAAGAAACTCATCCCAAGGGTGTCACTGAGCAAGGACCCGCGTTTGCCTGGTTTTAGCGGAGACTTCCACATGTTGGAAGAGGATAGCGCAGGGGCGTCTCGAAAGCGCGCATTTCTGAAAGCGAGAGGCAGGGAGAGAAAGCAGAGACGTCAGCATCAAGTCAAGATGTTCTCATACCAGGAGTATATAACCTGGCAGTCCCCCCGTGATTTCATTTTGGATTATCTACACCTGGCTGTCTTATCACTTCATCCCACTCCTCACTTATCATCTTCGTCGAAAGCTCCGTCTTTGACAGATATAGCTTCACTCTTCACTCTCCAAGCCACTCCCTCTAGCCTAAACATTCGAGGCTTTCAGCTCTTACTCACATTTGATCAACTAATTTTGAGGAGCTTCACTCTCTAAACCAACCATCATGGCTCCCAATCACCGAGCTTCGTCCACCGGCAGCTTCATCGAAAGCATCCAAGCTGCCCGGAAGCAACTGGACAACATGGCACTGAGCACTCCTGATTCCTCGCTCGACGGTTCAGAGGCATCATCCCCTGGCGACTCTCCAGTGGGAAGCCCTGCTAGCGCTCTCTCACCCGTCACCCCTTCGATAACTGTCGATGCTCCCGTAGCCGATAGCTTCGCCTTCGCCTTCGACATTGATGGTGTCCTTATCCGCGGTGGCCGTGCCATTCCCGAGGCCGTCGAGGCCATGAAGGTACTCAACGGCGAGAACGAATACGGCATCCAAATGTAAGTTGCCTTGAACATATCCCCCCAGTGATAGCCGAGACTGACATTGAACTGTCTAGTCCTTATATCTTCCTCACGAACGGAGGCGGCAAGACTGAAGAAGAGAGATGTGGCGACTTGTCAAAACAGATGGAGATTGAAATCTCCCCCGCACAATTCATCTGTGGCCACACCCCCATGAGGGAAATGGCCGATCGATTCAAGACTGTTCTGGTCGTCGGTGGAGAAGGCGAGAAGTGTCGTCAAGTTGCTGAAGGCTACGGCTTCAAGGATGTCATCACACCTGGCGATATCATTAAGCACAACTCGGCCACAACACCATTCCGCAAGCTTACGCCCGATGAGCTCAAGAACTCTCGCGAGCGTGACTTCACCGACGTCACCATCGAGGCTGTCTTCGTCTTCGCGGACTCTCGCGACTGGGCCGGTGACATTCAAATCATGCTCGATATCGCAATGTCCAAGGGCGGCAAGATCGGTACTCTGAGCGAGACCTTCGATGAGGGCCCACCAATCTACTTCTCCCATAACGACGTCGTATGGTCTGCGGCTCACGACAACGTGCGTCTGGGTATGGGTGCTCTCCGCCGTATGCTTGAGGTCGCCTTCAAGGACGTTACCAAGAAGAAGGGCAAGCTCCACACACACGCCTTCGGCAAGCCTCAAGTCAGCACATTTGAGTTCGCGACGAGGCTCTTGCAACAATGGAGACGCCAGCAGCACGGCCTCGACGCCCCTCCCGACACGGTCTACTTCGTCGGCGACACCCCCGAGTCCGATATCCGCGGTACCAACCTGTACGACGAGCACGCGGACAACGAGTGGCACAGCATCCTGGTCAAGACCGGTGTCTACCAGGATGGTACGGAGCCGGCTTACAAGCCCAAGGCTACTGTCAACACCGTCTTAGACGCCGTGCGCTACGGTATCCAGCGCGAGATCCGCAAGCGGGTCGTCACCTCCCTGCGCAAGGACATCCTCGGCGAAGAGGATTGCCTCCGCGCCATGCAGGAGAAGGGTAGCGCGTGTTACACTCCCCTCGAGGAGCGTTCGCAACCAATCTTGGGTTAAAGACTCGGCGAATTTGAGCATTTACAACTTTGCGCGATAAAATGGGATTTTCGGGATATTAGCGGTTTTCCTTTATTCGGTTAAAGCTCTCATCAGAGCTAGCCTCATTTTCTGGAATTGTTTATTCACTTGGACGGAGTAAAAGTGTGATACCAAAGGCGTCAGCAATGAACATCACGTTACAGATAGATGCTAGAGTCATAAAAAGCTTGTCAGCAGATTCGCATCGGTCAAAATATATGGGCGCATTAGCCGCCAAATAACTCTGAAATACTCGCAACATGTATTGATTGTCCATCTTGTGATTTCCTCGAGAGAATTATAGCGGTGAAGAATAGCTCACACGTCGGTTCGCGATAGTTCAACATAGCCCACCATTTATCATTTACGAGTAATTATTCCGCTACAACCGCCTCAACATGTACACCCACACCGAACCAGGCAACGACAACACTACTGCAAGGGAAGCAAGTATCAGGAAAGCATCCTGTTGGCAATCCCCCCTGATGAACCGACGCCGAGCCTGCAGAATACCGTCATTGACGGACCTGGCGCCGCGCCGTTGTCCGCACTGGTCCGCCAAGGACCCGGCCGGCGTCGAATATGAGCTGCATTCCTCTGCTTATTTCCTGATCCCGCCGTTGGCGCTACTGCTCATTAGAGAATTGGTACCCGTGAGAAGCCGAGTTACCCAACACGTCTTTGCTTGGCAGAGCATCTCAGATGTTGCCCAGACGAAGATTGTCTCCAAAGAGTAACCCGATGCCAGTTTTCCCCTCCTCGCATCTCGCATGCTTCTGTGGAGAAAGGAACCCACCGCGCGCGTGGGTTTCCTCACGGGCAGAAATGGATTCGCGGGTTGTTGATCAGCGATGGAGGAGGGGAGGGGAAGAAGTGGAGGAGTTGGCGCACGAGTATGGACCTCGGGAGGAGAGAAGAGTGGAAGAAGTACAAGTACGAAAAGGTATTCACAGAGAGGAGTGTCAGTCTGCTTGTTTGCTATGTGCACACTCCTCCCCATCCCCACCTCCACATGGTGCTGCTCGTCTCCGTCTCCTCGAACCTCCAGGAGTTCCTCCAGCCTCCGCATCTCTTATCGGTCGGTACCAGTAACAGGCTTCGAATCCCTCGGATCCCTGGCCTCGGGCGTCGTAGTGCTAGAGTGAGATTCTGTGAATGTGAAACTGCCCCACTGCGAAGAGGCAGCCCACGGCGCAGCATCGACGGCTTCCTGGCGTTGCCGGCGGTCCTTCACAGCCTCCATCGCGCTGCAGCCGAAGGAAAATCCCGGGACGTACTCGCGGTCGACGCGCAGCCATCCTTTCCAGGCGGCAGTCACGTCACCGGCTCCGAGTGCGCCGATGACTATGGTCCCCCACCATTCCCGGGCGCCGCTGTGGTGACCGCCGTAGAGCATCCAGTTCTCCGCAGCGGCGACGAGCTCGCGGATTTGCTCCGCGCCGATGTTGGTGCCGCATCCGCCTCCGTTTCCGCCGCTGCGGCTATCGGCGTTGCGGCTCTGGCGAGCTGGGCGATGCACGTAGGCGTGGCGCAGGTCGTCTGGGTCACAAAGGAGGCGAGTTGCGTCGAACCGATGCTCCGTATCGAGGATCAGTACCGTCTTGTTATGCGGATGTGACAAAAGGGCCGAGACGAGTGCGTAGACGAGCGGGAGTTGGCGGCCGGTCACAGCCAACGGAGCGAACTTTGTTGCACGAAAATTCCGATGGACAAGATCGTCAAGACCGGGAACGGGATAGAACTTTGGGTGCTTCGATTTATTTATTGGCGCATCGGGATCAACCGCTATGCGGAGGGCATGCAGTATCTGCGGTGCTGAATGTCAGTGCCAGTGCACATGTACGACTTCATTGTGATCAATTCGATGATGCGGGGTTCGACTTGAGTGCAAGTGATGAGATTGAAGATAGCTGCTGTTGGGGTTAAGCAAAGGTCTTGAGGATTTCGGCGAGGTTCGTTACACGGACGGAAAGTTGAACGGAAACATCAACTCATCCAGCTTTCATCGACCGGAACCAACTGAAGAAGCCTCCACTCAACTCAACCCTCCAGCTTGCGCAAACAAAGTGGAGTCGTGATTCTTGCGTACCTCGTCAAGGTTCGTCTCTTCGATCTCGCCCAGCAGCCTTGCGCCGGCTAGAGAGGCCGCCGAGGGCATCTCCATCTCCATATCCGTCGCTGTCGCCGTCGCCGCCGCCGCTAGAAAATGTCGCCGCCGTGTGCCGCGTTCCCACCGTCAAAATTGGGTGTGCACGTCCAGGCTGATGTCAAAGGGAAGAAGCGCAAGCTGCCTATAGGCGCCGATGTCGACCTGACCAAGTGTGCGTTGAAGGAGATGACGCAGTACAGGTGCTTCGTCGAGAACTCGCAGTCCCGAAATAGCCCGGTCCGCTGCTGGCCGATTCACCGACTCTTCCGACAGTGAGTTTTGATTTCTTCTGATACCTTCTCCTTTCCAATGTCGCACAACTATCCGCCGCCGGGGATATCGTTCACTGATTGTTTGTGATTCACTAGATGTCAGGATAAAAAGGGCACGTTCATGGTTGAGACTACGGCCTGGGAGGGTTCAAAGTCAGACCCCACCACCCGTCACAACTCCCAAGCTACAGGCAACGGCAAATCGCAAGACGGCCATTCTAGTGAGCCAGCATATCATCAATGGTCTCAGGCATGGGAGGATGAATGAGCCAGGGAATCATTGTTTCCGGTGTATATATGGCATTTAGACGCATGCTGCAGGTTACCAAACTGTGTATAGCCTGGCGATCTCATTCGAAGCGCAGAGTAGGCGCACGTGGCTGATCGGATGATGATACGATCTGGCTGGACTACGTCTTGGGTAATTGATCCAAGGTCATCGAAATCAAAGCTGTATTTATACTCGTAGATCATATAGCAACGCTCCCACGTCAATCATATATAACATCAACACAGGTCTGAGAGATAAAGCCTGTACCCTCGGGGGAAATGAGATAGTCAGACGAGAAAGACCTGGTCCTCTCAAATCGTACAGCAATCGTTCGCACTGGTCTTATACGAGGTTTCAGCAAAGCAAGACCCTTCAACGTAGAGACTGCATGGATCCAGTGACATTGCACTGGTGGACAATGGTCCGCCGACCAAGGCGACTAACATCGACGCATGCATCGAATCAATTCACATAAAGAGGCTCTTGGTTCAATTGCTGAAGTGTATGGTACAATCGGGGTTGGATGGTCAACTGATGAAGCCCGTATCTTGTCTATGACTGCAAATGCCCTCTCGTGCTTCCTCCGCCCAATCTAGCAGACCATCTCAATTCGCTCCCTTCCCGCTTCGTCTCGGCTGTTTGATTTTCGCTTATGCCTTGCGGGCCTCGGCCTTTTGCTGCTCGAGCTTGGCGTAGTAGCTGTCGCGGGCGTTCGTGCGCGGCATGTGGAAGCCGTACCTATGATTCAATCTTAGTTTTCGGGGGTGGGATTTCTATAGAATTCAGTCGATGATCGCGTACCAGTAGACGTTGGCCATGGCGAAACCGAGACCTGTAAAGGCATCGTTAACTGAGTCATTCTCGGATTATGTCGTAAAGAAAGGGTGGAACACTGGAGTAGCAGATCGCTGCATGTTTGAATTCGAGAGGCTCAATTGATGCATGTCACCCTCAATCATCCAGCAGCAGCAAATCTGCAAACTCCAGCCCTGCCCACGGATAAGAGCTTACCAAGGGCGATACCAAGGTCGAGAACGAGGTTGCGTCGCAGCATCTGTCAGTTGTCGTTAGCCCACAGTCCCTTGCCCTTCGTCTTCTTCCTCCGTGATTCCGGCGGAAATTCTATGTTTGGATGGGGAGAAAAACGCACGCCCGTGATGGGCTTAACAGCAGTAGCGCCGGCCATTGTGATGTGTAAAGCGGAGAGGGTTGTGGTGGTCGATTGAGCCGAGAGTTCGTAATCGGAGGGTTGTTTGACGATGCTGAGATCTTTGGCGGGTAGCTCGAATGGTCTGATCAATTCGCGCGGAAGGAAATGTCACGTGATGTTCAATTACTCTCCAACCAAGGTAATGGCTCTGTGACGGCTGCTACCGGGCCTTAGCTAAGCAATTCGGTGATTGAAACTGCTTCGCCCTGGTTGGCCATGGTATTTTTCATTGCATCTCAGCCAGAACACAAAAGCCTTAGGTAAGCAGGCTGGCCGGAGGAACGCCGGCTAAACGCCCGGAGACGTGGCTCAGGTGCGACCGTCAACGCGCATGGGATCTTCCGAGCATTTTTTCCCGTAACGGGTGGATTGAAGCTGGTTGGTGATCAATCAGCTTGAATCAGCAACACCAGTAGCAGCCATGAGTCTTCCCACGAGGCGGTTGGCCTCAGCCGGTATGTTTCCAATTGATATTATTTCGGCTTCGTCCAATCTTCCAAATTGTGTTCTATTGCCGTCAGCTTCTGAATCGGGCTCCCTAAGTAGCTAACCTTCCCTGAACTATTAGCTCCCTCAACACTCCAAGCTATCACCCGACCGATTCCTCGATCATTCATCCTGCCCATTCGACCAGCTACCCAGGTTCGAAGCAAATGGACTCTCGGCAGTATCTTCGGCAGCCGTCGCGGCAAGCGAGCCCAAGCTTCCGATGATATGATGGGCGAGAATCTCGACGACCCCAAGGTCCGCGAACGCTTTGCCGAGTCACAGCAGCCCAAGATGTCTAGCTCAATCTTCGAGGAGGAAGTCGACGATGTCGTCGCGGACAGCAAAAAGGGCGGATCCAAGGCTCAAGCTGCCCAGGCGTCGGTGAAGACACCAGAGACGATGGCGTGGCGCCTCGACCCCGATCCGCGAAGTCGTCTCCGCTGGGAGAGAAAGAAGGTCATCCAGATGGTGCGCAAGAACGGCCATGTCACCCGTGAGGAGCGTATCGCACAGACCGAGAAGAAGTTGTCTCACAAGAGCCCCTTTTTGGAGACCAGCGTCAAGAAGCTCGTGCATCTGGCGCGCCAGATTCAGGGCAAGTCCCTCGAAGAGGCCGTTCTGCAGATGTCGTACTCTAAGAAGAAGATGGCGGCCGAAGTCAAGTACCAGCTGGAGGAGGCCAGAGATTTGGCTGTTGTTACCCGTCGCATGGGCATCGGCCGCGTTGCCACCAACGTGCAGCCCATCAAAATTCAGACCAAGGAAGGCAAGACCATGACCATCACAGACCCGACAAGACTCTATGTTGCTGAAGCCTGGGTTGGTCGAGGACCTTGGAGGGCCAAGGAACTTGATTACAAGGGCAGAGGCAGATTCGGCATCATGCAATCGCCCTCAACCAGTACGTTTGATACTTTCCTATTCTGCCACTCAATCTTGTCTGTTGTGAGATTAACAATAGTTGGCAGGCATTTCGATCGTCTTGAAGGAGGAAAAAACGAGGATACGGGAGCACACGGAGAAGTTGGCCAAGCAGGCGAGGAGAAAGCCCTGGGTACATTTGCCTGACCGACCAGTGACGGCTCAGAGACCCTACTACTCATGGTAAAGAAAAAGTCACGACTGGAAGACACGTAACCGGAAGTGCTTGGAATACCATCTTGTAACACACTCAAAACCTGTAAGAATATGTACAATGAAAAGCTGTCATAGAGTCCTTTACGCCATCTTCGCTGCCAATTCCCCTCACCTTACCGGTGCCTTCGGGTGTATGTATGCAATAGAAATAGGATATCCCGTGGTATAATGCTGACCTTTTTTCGACAACCGCCCCTGAACCCCAGTCCGCCGCCACCGCTCATTAACATTCATTTAGTCATAATTCATGTAGTGGAAGATTTCCGCTTGCACTGCTCATCTGCTTTAGATGGGCCAATCAAAAAGACGAGCATGATGAGTGCCTCGGTGAACTGCTTCTCACTCGAAACGTCTGGGTGACTGGCGCGGCAACATGTCTTCGTACCTTCTCGACTTCATCTCAAGCTCCGAGTGGTTCTTGTCTTTCATGCCGATGAAACCTCCAGTGTAGTCTCTTCCGGAGCCAGGCATCGGGCCTGAAATTTGCATAGACTTTGTACGGTTCTTTGGCCGTCTAATGAGAAGCCACAAGGCCAAGGCGATGGCTAGGACACCGACACCTGCTCCCACTCCGATACCTATCTTGGCAGATGAAGAGAGGCCTGCAGCATCGCTCTCTAGGTTGCCCGCTCCGGTCTCCGAGGCTGAACCGGATTGCGATGGGCGAGCTCCGGTAGATGTCGACGTCGACCACGAAGAGGTGGAGGACAATGACCTGGTGGATGTGGCCTGGAATGAGTTAGTCAGGGCTGAAGCTATCATCATGAACTGACAGTATAAAGCTTACGAGGGTGGTTGAGACTGCACTCGACGGCTGGAAAGCCTGAGCAGTATCGGTGACAGGGTTGCCAGAGGTTTCCCATGGAGCTGTTTTGGCGACTTCAGAGGAAGCGGGGGTCTCAGCAGCGCTGGGTTTCGGCGGCTCGCTCGAGCTTGACGGTGACGGTGGCGGCTGAGAAGTCGACGGCAGCACCGCCGGGGGTGTTGTCTGCTGAACGGCGGGTGTGGAAGGCGGTGGGTTTGACGCAGGCGGTGTTGAAGCAGGAGGTACTTGCGTAGCAGCTATTATGGAAAGTCAGTGATGTCTTTGCTGGATCAGGGAAGGAAGTTATCTCACTTGCACATAGACCCGCGACATATTCATTGACTTTGGGTGCTACATCTGCAGTGCATGACTGCGAGGCGCAATCGCGAACACCAAACACAAAGTCTTGCTGTTTACACAGGCAGGTATTGTCTCCAGATGCGCAACCAAAGCCTTTGGCAATGACATTGTTGACACAGGTAATCTGCGGGGCAAGAACGTGTTAGTCCTTGATACTCGCTCAGTTTTCTAGAAATGTGTCTTGATGCAGCCAATCATGTCTCTAAATGATCGTCTTTTCAGTGACTTACACCACAAGGTGGCAATGAATCCAGTTGTGCGCAGACATTGCCAAGAAGGGCCGTAATGGCGAAAGCCCGAACCCAGAAACGACGTCTCATAATGAGATCGGTGAAGGTAAGTGCGACAGGATACTTGATGTAATTAACGTCAAGTGAAGTGTATTGGAGACAAATTTCCGGCCTGTCACTTTCTGGAATCACCTAACACCTGACGCGCATAGGACCAGATCTTTTAAAGTGTCGCACAGAAGTTCATGGTCTGTCCCGAGTTCAGGTGGTTGGTGAGGTACTCTGGCACGGCGCTGATGTTTGTATGAAGATATGGCGTTCGTTACGTGGCGCGAAATAGACCCAGAGAACGTATGAGACTGCTCGACAGACAGTCAAGGTGACGAAAGAGGCGAGGAAATTGACAAGAGAACGCGAACCCCGAAGACTCGGTGAGGTAAATGGCTGAAGTGATCTGGGTCAAGACAGGCGGCAGATGGTCGACGTAGCGAGACAGAGAGTCAGGTCAAGTCAAGCTGGATGGACTTGCAGCGGGAGGGGGCGGTAGAGGCGAAACAAGTTGACCAAAGCTGGAATGGAAGATAAACGGTCCAGGCGAAGTGGGAGGAATGGAAGAGAAAAGCCGGCGTGGAACGAGTTGGGGAGAAAAGCTGAAGAAGATTCCGAATGGGCAGAAGAGAAAAAACAAGGTACACGGCGAAGAGAAAAGAAGGGAAGAAGCTCGCAGGTGAGGTTCCGGGGGAATGAGAAGGGAGCGGGGAGCGAGGGTGATATTTCAGATTTAGAGAGGGAGGAGGGATATTGCCGTATTGAAGAAGGAACACGGTCCTACTCCCACACCCACATGTCCCTCGCACTTGCACTTACAATGGCAGTTCCTCCCTGGACTACCTTGCCTCCACAGAGAGAGCGGTGCAACTTGCCTTACCAAGTTGGCTTACCTACATGCAGAAGAGACGCGGGAGGACGTGGGCCAACAGTAATGGCAGGGGCCAACCGATCCGATGGGATCATGGGATGGAAGGCACTGTTGGCCCGTCTGAGATGCACGGGGCTGCCCTGGTTCGTGAGCAAAGAATCTAGATACATCCTCGGACAAGTAAAATAACGCAGAGAGCCAGGTCACTCATGACGAAGGGGGGCCTTCCTTCCTCCTTCTATCAAGAACAGGGGAAAGGGGGTGGGGGAAGAAATAGAAGGGGACCAAAAAGGTACGAGCACGGGCAGGAGGCTGTGAAGGCAGCCCGGGGTTTCCCTCTGGTGCAAGTGCGACGTTGGCAGTTGACAGCCCGCGGACCTTGTCGCGTCCACGTTAAATTAGTACAGTCGCGTCAAATAGAGGTATAGACGGAGACGTGTTTGACTATTTGTCTTCTCTATCGGTTTTGATGGCATCCGACGTGTTGCGTACCTTAGCCTGAAGTTTGCAGGCCCATACTCAAGGTAGACAGGGTAAGTCGCGGCAGACGAATAATGGTGGTGACAGACGTGTCGGGCCATTTGCTGGCTGATACTGGATAGTCCTCTCTGAACTCTGGACTGATGAGCTACCTATAGCACCTTACCTTGCTTCTTACTTGTACTTCTTCAAGCAAGCAGGTAGACAAAAGTGACAGAGACGTACCTTTGGCAAGTATCTTGATGCGAGGGGTGGACGGGTTTGAGAAGGGAGCAGGCCCGGGCGCTTTCCAGGTTGGTTGAGGTAAACTCAGGTATTCCCTTACCTAAGGTAGGCACCCTTGGCACCTTACCTTATTCACCTCAGGGCAACATAGACTGGAACGAGGAAAAGGAAGGAGAGGCCCCGAGGGTTTAGTATGGCTGCATCATGCTCCTGCATGCCCTTGTCTTTCTCGTCTTTTGGCTTTTTGACACAATCAGCCTGCCTTACCTCGAGCATCACCGCAAAAGCTGCGTCATCCGATGATTCAACAAGAGACGCACATGGATTTTCCATCCGAGGTGAGGCAACGATCAAGTGGGAGACTCTCGACCTTCTCGTCACCCTTGGCTCGTTATGCGTACCTACGTTCCCCGTTGAGGCAAGTCACATCGGCGGCTCGCCATGGATTCTGGTGGAGGATCCCCAACTGGGCCTGGGCCCGATCTGAGGGAGACTACTCTGAGTCTGTGCCGCGAGCTGCCAGCCAGGATGAGCCCGCTTTGACAGGGGTTGCGGAAATGGCAATGGGGGTCCAGGGATGACGTTCCATGGAGGGGGAAGCCTGGTGAATGGCAAAGCCGACTTAGCCATTCATCCACTCTTCTTGATGAATATTCGCATGATTCGGACGTACAGCTTCCATCTCCAATTGCCTCGTAAGGATGAAGTGTTTTCCCTATTTCTCGAAGTATCCCACATTCTTTGTTGCCTCTTACTTTCGACGGGCTACAGAGTAAGAATGATGAGGACAATACGGCAGGTCCAGTTCGCGGCGCATAACGTTGGCTCATGTTTGCACATCAAAGTAGCACTGATACAGGTGTGCCGTCGTGGGGTTGCACCTGAGCCGTCCTATCAAATCTTACAGATCGTCCGAAGCTATTCTTGAAGAATAAGCCACGCACGAATTCGGCCCCGTCTCTAACAGGACCTTGTCGGATTGTTGGCGAACGCTGGCCCCATCCGACCCCAACGACCTGCTATTTGCCTGGTCGTCCGATCCCTAGTCGTAGTCGCAGCCAGGGGTCGGTTGGCTGGATAGGAATCGCTTGTAGTTGCGACACGGGGCTCAGTCAAAGCCCCCTCGCGCGACGTGCCCCCGTAGCTAAAGACTACCAAAACGAAGGTTGGCGGCAGATTGGCAGAAAGGGGGCGAATCCAGCCTGTGAACTGCGCTTTCTGGGCTCTTGCCCGATGAGGGGTCGATAACGGTCAAGCACGTGCCTAGGTACGTTCATTCACCGCTTAGCTCGTCGCTGGTTCCGAGGCTGATCTGCGCTAGGCAGGTCGTGTATCTTGCCGCCGCAAGCCACCGCACATCAATCGTTTCGCCCTAGACTTAGGGAAGCACGGAGGATGGGAAAAAGGAGACGGGCGCGACGGGCTCGGAGCGCATCGTCCAAAATCCATCCCGACACCCAAGTCCAAGGTAAGGCAGATGCGATAAAACTTCCTTTTCCGATCTGCTCACTTAGCCTGTGCATACTGCGCACCATCATACGACGATTCCGTCGTCATCCAACAAGGGAACGAGACTGCAGCATGACAAACCGTGTGCCCGAAAAGGAAAGCAAGAACCTGGGAATTCCATGTTCCATCGGGCTGCATGAACTGCGGATGCCGGTGCGGCACTCCCGTCGCCGGCATGGGGACCTGGACGGCCTTACCTAAGGCACCTACCTTACTGTGTAAGGTACTCCGTAGTCTCTGATGTATTCCTTCTCTTCCATTACCCTGAAGGCAAGGCACACCTTATGTAAGCTGTCATCCGATGGTGCTGGTAAGACTGATGAGAGGTCGCAAGCCTTGAGATGAAATGGGTTTCTGACAACCTCAAGCAAGTTGCAATAGTCCTTGCTCAGACATGTGCCGCTTACCTACTTGACTGATGTAAGGAACGCGCCCTAAATACTAATCTCACTCGAGGTAACCTTGGCTTAAAGATAAACGTTCTAGGAATAGGTACGAATGCCTTTGTGAAGTACCATCGTGAAAAAAGTCAAGAAGTTTGTGAACTCGCGCTGAGGGTGTTCTCGCATTCAACCGATAGTATTCTTCCAATCCTGTTCGTTCCCACCAAACGCCTGCTATCCTGATCGTCCGTATGCCCTCCTTGCACAGCAGCAGTCCCACGTCATGAGGGCAAACTCATTATTCACCACTCGGCATGTTTTGGTCAAATGGGAGACTTGCGCATTTACCGCCTGTTACTCCTCCACCTCTCGCCCCCGCACAAAATATTCGAATGGGCAGACAGAATGAACTTACAAAGTACCGCTGTCATGGCCCCTCGCTCCCCTGTTTCAGCGCTCTTTTGAGTCGGATGGGAAGCCTCTATCCACTCACAACGGCTTCGAGCCCTGGACAATGCTTGCCAGATCTCTCGGCTTTTCTGTTGCTGCACTTTACCCACACTGTCTTGCTGCTAACTCCAAGATGTAGCCGGAACAATTGGCCTGCCCAAGACGTGGGTGATTCTCCGTCGCCTGTCGTACCATCGTTACAGCCGGGACCTGTGGAAGCATCTAAAGAACTTCACTTATTCTTTCAGACGTCCGCATTCGACTGCTAGGGCCTCATGGCAGCTAGCCCATGTCCAAATGTCCACGGCTTGCCCTGTCGCACGCCGCATTCCCCGCTTGCTTCTTTCTGCCCCTTCATCTTGACCTGAACATGGCCTTGCCGTCGATAAATGGACTCGCTTGTCGTGGATTCATGCGCCTCGCGGCATCACGGCTACTGGCAAACAAGGCTATATTCCAATTGCGATAAGTCGGCTGTTCTGCTATATGTGGCTTGCGTTGCCCAGGACAGGCATCCCCTGCGCATGAATCAGACGGGGCGCGCTGCAACAAGCACCACAAAGGCGGAGCTTTCTCGACAACTATAACGGCCGCTTGCCCAGATTTATTTTTTGGATTCCCCATTGCGGTCTCATGTTAATGGCTGAGCCAACTCGTCATTCCGGGTCACGGTGCACTGCGAATGCGGAGCATTCTGAGGATAGCGGCAAGCGGCAGTGCCATTTAGGTTCTCCATTGCCAAACCTCTTGACGCCCAGTCATATAGCATAAATACATTGCGATCCCTCAGCTGGTCTTATTTGTTAAGCGTAGCTGCAACTCGATGCGGATGAACGTGGGCTTATTGCATTGCACCCCAGCCAGAACGCCGTCTTCGCTCTTCGAGCAAATGAGACAGCTTCGTGAAAATTTTGTTGTGGTGTAGCTGATTTGGTTGGGTTAAGACGGCGACGGGTGCCTGTCTTCGTCTCTGCCGACTCCGCTCTCCCGGACCATGGCTCCGGCGTTGAGACCGACAGGTGGGTGACGGAATGACCTGCTGCTAAACGCATCCCGAATTTTCTACGTCTATCGCGATCTCTACCTCTATTACAGCCTCTATGCCATGTGTACAATTATTTGCTCTTTCTTGAATGACATTCCATGTACATCATCCCTAAAGAGCCATTATCCCAGTGAGACTGTGACAACAAAGAAAATTGTAATAGTTTTAGAAGGAGGGTTAATTATATGCTGACCAGCTATTACTTTACCACTCGCTTGACGGACAGTCGTATCAAACCAGCATGCAGCGAATAGAGATCTGTCAGCGTTGATTGTGTACCATGTGGTTTCTGAGTGGCGAGAAGTCAAAGTTAAGAAGCTG